CTACCACTTCCTACCATACCTTCACTTCGCGTCTCCGTGTTTAAGGTTTGGTGTAGGGGATTCCAAAGAGAAATGTTTAGGAGGGGTGGGTATGGTTATTGGGTCATTTTTGCTTCTTTTTAGGATGTGGTTCTTTGTTTTGTGAAATACACTGGTTAAATACCGTGTCATGTTCAGCCATTATGTCATGTTCAGCCATTATTTCCATCATATTTACCAAATTTCTGCCACATTGCAACTACATCCACCACATCTCCACATTCACCACATATCTGCGACATATCAACCAAATTTCCATCATGTATGCTACATAACCATCATATTCACCCACGTTCCAAGGCATATTGGCCACATTTCTACCACACTGAGCCATATTTTCTTCCAAATTTTTATACACATTCCTGGCTACATTTCAACCAAATTTCCACTATGCATGATACATTATCATCGCATTCCACCACATTCCTTCCACATTCAACCATATTTCCACCATTTGACCCCATCTATACTATATTTCAACCTACTTCTAAAACCTTACACGCTACATTGTCATCATACCACATTTAAGGCGCATTTCCAACATCTCACCCATTCCCCATCCTATTCATCACATCACACAACCACCGACCTACCTACTTAACCGCAAAAACCCCAATAACCCAAAAATCATACCATCAACATACAGCATACATTTATAAGCCATCATCACAACAAGGAAATGATGTCACACGTATACAACACATACATCATACCATACACATACCACATACATCATACCATCACACACTACATATACCATCCACACATACATCCAACCATCCACAATCCCAAACAATACATCATACCCATCCACACATACATCATACACATCCACACTATACATCATACCATCCACACATACCAACATAACATCATACCTCCACACATACCAAAACATACATCATACCATCCACTACATACATACACAATACCATCGACACCCATACCACACATAATCATACCATCCATCATTACACACATACATCATACCATACAACACATACATCATACATCCACATCCACACCAAACCATCATACCATCCACACATACCAAAACATACATCATACCATCCATACCATACACCATCCAACAATAATCAACCATCCACAACATACATCATACCATCAACATACCAAACATAATCATCATACATCCACACATATAACCACAATACATCATACCATCCACACATACATCATACCATCCACACATACCAAACATACATCATACCATCCACACATACATCATACCATCCACACATGCCACACATACATCATACCATCCACACATACACATACATCATACATTACCATACACACATACATCATACCATCCACCACATTACAATCATACCATCCCACTACATACCCACAACATACATCAATACCATCCACACATACCAAACATACATCATACCATCCACACATACATCACATACACATACATATACCAACACATCATACATCATACCATCATACCATCCACACATACATCATACCATCACACACCATCCACACATACATCATACATCCATACATCACACATACATCATACATACCATACATCACCATCCACACATACATCATAACCATCCACACATCATCATACCATCCACACAATACATCATACCATACCCCACACATACATCATACCATCCACAACATACATCATACCATCCACACACTACATCATACCATCCACACATACATCATACCATCCACACATACATCATACCATCCACACATATCATACCATCCCACATACATAACATCAATACATCCACACATACCATCCATACATCCACACATACATCATACCATCCAAACAGCATACCACACATACATCATACCATCCACACATACCACACATACATCATACCATCATCCACACATACCACACATACATCATACCATCCCATACCACCCACATACATCAATACCATCCACACATACATCATACCAAACACCATACATCATACCATCCACAACCACATACATCATCCATCACACATACCACCATCATACATCATACCATCCACATACATACATACATATCATCCACAACATCACACACATACATCATATCCACACCAAACATACATCATACATCCAACATACATCATACCATCCCACACATACCACACATACAATCATACCATCCACACATACCACACATACATCATACATCCCACACATACCCCACACATACATCATCAACAACATACATCATACATCCACCACATCCACACATACATCATACCATCCACACATACCACACATACCATACCATACCACACATACATCATACCATCCACACATGCCAAACATACATCATACCATCCACACATACCACATAACATCATACCATCCACACCATACATCATACCATCCACACATACATACATCATATACCATCCACACATACATCATACCATCCACACATCCACACCACCATCCACACATACACATACATCATACCATCCATACACATATACACAACATACACATACATCATACACATACCACACATACATCATACATCCACACATACCATAACATCCACATACATACATCATCCCACACATACATCATACATCACCACACTACATCATACCCATCCACACATACCACACATACATCCATAACCATCCCACATACCACACATACATCATACCATCCACACATACCATCAATACCACACATACATCCACATACACATACACATTCATACCATCCACACATACAACCATACCATCCACACATACATCATCCATCCACAATACCCATCCACACATACATCATACCATCACACATACATCATACATCCACCAGATACATCATACCACACACATACCATCCACACATACATCATACCATCCACACATACCACACATACATCATACCATCCACACATACCACACATACATCATACCATCCACACATACATCATACCATCCACACATACCACACATACATCCACACATCCACATACATCATACCATCACACCATCATACATACACCCATCATACATCATACCATCCACACCACCATACATCATACCCCCACACATACATCCACACATACATCAACCATACACATGCCAATCATACATCCACCACATACAATCATACCACATCATACCACACATCATACATCATCACACATACCATACATCACATACCATCCATACATCATACCACATACATCCACACACACACATACATCCATACCATCCACACATACCACACATACATACATACCATCCCACATACATCATACCATCCACACATACATCATACCATCCACACATACCATACACACATACCACACATATCCATACCGATTACGACACATGTTTTCCTACACATACAATACTCCTTAATATTCCTTCCTCACTCACCTCAGTTTTGCCGTAATCAGGCTAATGTCACACCATGCAAGGCAACCATAACCTCCAAGGGGGACTTACAGGACCTCGTCACCATACTCGAGAACATACGGAGCCATTCACGTCATAAAATGGGACCCCTCGGCAACCTCATGGCAACACGTTCACTTCACACGAACGTCGGGGACTGAAAACACACACACACGCGCGCGCATATGTAAACAAAGGCGGATCTACACAAACACTCACACGGCGTACACACTCGGTTGAGTTATATCGCGCTCTCGTTCTTATTATACACGAAGCCGAGTGTGTTCGGAGAGTAGACTGACTTCTTTGGGTTAGCGTAGCAACAACTCTTCGATTAGATAAGTATGGACATCTAATCTACATGAATAAAGTAAAAATAAAATACGTAAATAATTTAGGTGACTACGATTAGATACGTATGGACAACTAACCTACATGAATAAAGTAAATAAAATAAGTAAAATACGTAAATAATTTAGGTGACTACGATTAGATACGTATGGACATCTAACCTACAGGAATAAAGTAAATAAAATAAAATACGTAAATAATTTAGGTGACTAAAATGTCGCGAACTACGAGCGTATTATTAATCATACTTACGGCATTACCGATTTTGAAAGTGTCTTAGGAATAAGCGAATTAAAGGACTACAGGCGTACCTAAACATATAAAGTAAGTGTTGCCAACTACGAGCGTATTAACAATCCTTCTTACGGCATTACCGATTTCTAAGAGTGCCTCAGGAACAAACGGATAAAAGGACTACGGGCGTATCAACAATCACACGCAAGGTATTATCGAGCGTAATAACAATCTATCTAAATAAGAGAATTACGAACTTCTCAACAATCACACTTATGGGATTACCGAGCGTACTACTACTACTACTAAAAAATACAAACGACGAACGTAAAGCAATTTGCCGATTTCCTTTGTACTTTAAGGAAGTAAACACTCGAAGATAAATACTACGCATTCGACAACAACAAAAAACGGAGTCCATAAACAAAGGAAAAACGCTATACGTGACGCACATCAAGGAAAAAAAAGAAAGAAAAAAGTAAAAACAAAAACAAAAGAATATCGTAGTACTTTAGATGACTAAGATGGGTGACTAAGATCAAGTTCTTAGTACAGGATAAATAATGTTTTGATTTATGGAAAGTAACGAGAGTGTCGTACTGTCGAGAATGGAGAAAATTAGAGGCTTGTGAGAGATGTAGAATTATGATAAAGTTGGTTCAGTGTGAGAGGAATGTTGTAGATTATGATCGAACATTGGTGGAGAGTGTGTTGGTCTGTGTGAGAGGAATGTTGTAGATTATGATCGAACATTGGTGGAGAGTGTGTTGGTGTAAGAGGAATGTTGTAGATTATGATCGAACATTGTGGAGAGTGGTGTTGGTCTGTGTGAGAGGAATGTTGTAGATTCTGTTCGAACATTAGTGGAGAGTGTTGGTCTGTGTGAGAGGAATGTTGTAGATTATGATCGAACATTAGTGGAGAGTGTGTTGGTCTGTGTGAGAGGAATGTTGTAGATTATGATCGAACATTAGTGGAGAGTGTGTTGTGTGAGAGGAATGTTGTAGATTGATCGAACATTAGTGGAGAGTGTAGATCGAACATTGTGGAGAGTGTGTTGGTCTGTGTGAGAGGAATGTTGTAGATTATGATCGAACATTGTGAGAGTGTGTTGGTCTGTGTGAGAGGAATGTTGTAGATTCTGATCGAGTGAGAGTGTGTTGGTCTGTGTGAGAGGAATGTTGTAGATTCTGATCGAACATTAGTGGAGAGTGTGTTGGTCTGTGTGAGAGGAATGTTGTAGATTATGATCGAACATTGGTGGAGAGTGTGTTGGTCTGTGTGAGAGGAATGTAGATTCTGATCGAGGTGGAGAGTGTGTTGGAAATGTAGAGAGGAATGTTGTAGATTCTGATCGAACATTGGTGGAGAGTGTTGGTCTGTGTGAGAGGAATGTTGTGATTGATCGGGTGGAGAGTGTGTTGGTCTGTGTGAGAGGAATGTTGTAGATTCTGATCGAACATTGGTGGAGAGTGTGTTGGTCTGTGTGAGAGGAATGTTGTAGATTATGATCGAACATCAGTGGAGAGTGTGTTGGTCTGTGTGAGAGGAATGTTGTAGATTATGATCGAACATTAGTGGAGTGTGTTGGTCTGTGTGAGAGGAATGTTGTGATCTGTTGTGTTGTAGATTATGATCGAACATTAGTGGAGAGTGTGTTGGTCTGTGTGAGAGTGTTGTAGATTGATCGAACATTGGTGAGAGTGTGTTTGTAGAGAGGAATGTTGTAGATTATGATCGAACATTGGTGGAGAGTGTGTTGGTCTGTGTGAGAGGAATGTTGTAGATTCTGATCGAACATTGGTGGAGAGTGTGTTGGTCTGTGAGAGGAATTTGTAGATTTGATCGAACATTGTGAGAGTGAGAGGAATGTTGTAGATTCTGATCGAACATTGTGGAGAGTGTGTTGTCTGTGTGAGAGGAATGTTGTAGATTATGATCGAACATTGTGGAGAGTGTGTTGGTCTGTGTGAGAGGAATGTTGTAGATTATGATCGAACATTGTGGAGAGTGTGTTGGTCTGTGTGAGGAATGTTGTAGATTATGATCGAACATTGGTGGAGAGTGTGTTGGTCTGTGTGAGAGGAATGTTGTAGATTGATCGAACATTGGTGGAGAGTGTGTTGGTCTGTGTGAGAGGAATGTTGTAGATGATCGAATTGGTGAGAGTGTGTTGGTCTGTAGAGAGGAATGTTGTAGATTATGATCGAACATTAGTGGAGAGTGTGTTGGTCTGTGTGAGAGGAATGTTGTAGATTCTGATCGAACATTAGTGGAGAGTGTGTTGGTCTGTGTGAGAGGAATGTTGTAGATTCTGATCGAACATTGTGGAGAGTGTGTCGGTCTGTGTCGAGTGGAGAGTGTTGTTGGTCTGTGTGAGAGGAATGTTGTAGATTATGATCGAACATTGGTGGAGAGGTGTTGTGTGAGAGAATGTTGTAGATTATGATCGAACATTAGTGGAGAGTGTGTTGGTCTGTGTGAGAGGAATGTGTAGATTCTGATCGAACATTAGTGGAGAGTGTGTTGGTCTGGTGTGAGATTGATCGAACATGGTGGAGAGTGTGTTGGTCTGTGTGAGAGGAATGTTGTAGATTATGATCGAACATTGGTGGAGAGTGGTGTTGGTCTGTGTGAGAGGAATGTTGTAGATTATGATCGAACATTGGTGGAGAGTGTGTTGGTCTGTGTGAGAGGAATGTTGTAGATTATGATCGAACATTAGTGGAGAGTGTGTTGGTCTGTGTGAGAGGAATGTTGTAGATTATGATCGAACATTGGTGGAGAGTGTGTTGGTCTGTGTGAGAGGAATGTTGTAGATTCTGATCGAACATCAGTGGAGAGTGTGTTGGAAATGTAGAGAGGAATGTTGTAGAATATGGAAAGAAATACTGTAAAACGTAGTGGAAATGTAGGGAAAGGAAGAAGAAATGTAGAATCCGAAAGTTGTAGAGTGTGTATTGTAGAAGAGAGTGGAAAGAGAGAGGTAGACTATGATGAAGATTTAGAAGGTGTCATAAAAAGTTGCAGAGATGTGGTAGAATGTGGCATGAATGTTGCAGAATGTGGCATAAAAGTTGGAGAGAGGAGACAGGATGAAGTGCGACAAAATGTTGCAGAGTAGAATGTGGCATGAATGTGTGAATGTGGCATAAAAGTTGGAGAGAGGAGACAGGATGAGGTATGAATGTTGATGAATGTAGCAGACATTACAGAAACGTGAATGTGGCGTGAATGTTGTAGAATAAGAAAAATGTACAGGTGTGGTAGAATGTGGCATGAATGTTGTAAAAATGCGACAAAAAGTGGAAGAGGAGGTAGGATGCGCATGAATGTTGATGAATGTATAGACATTGCAGAGGCGTGAATTGGTGAATGCTGTAAGACAAAAAAATGTACAGATGTGGTAGAAATGTGGCATGGATGTTGTAGAATATTACAGAAAATGTAAGACTGTGTTGAATGTGGCGTGAATGTTGTAGAATGCGACAGAAAAGTTGCAAAGATGTGGTCGAATGTGGTATGAGGTAGAATAAAACAGAAAATTGTATATAGTGGTAGAATGAATGTAAGATGTGGTAGAAGAATGTTGTAGAATAAGACAAAAAGTTGGAGAGAGGAGGTAGGATGTGGCATGAATGTTGATGAATGTAACAGACATTGCAGAGGCGTGGTAGAATGTGTCGTGAATACTGTAGAATAAGACAGAAAAATTGTACAGATGTGGTAGAATGTGGCATGAATGTTGTAGAATGCGACAAAAAAAGTTGGGAGAGAGGAAGTAGGATGTGGCATGAATGTTGATGAATGTAACAGACATAACAGAAACGTGAATGTTGTAGAATAAGTAGAATAACTGTATAGATGTGGTAGAATGTGGCGTGAATGTTGTAGAATGCGACAGAAAAAAAGTGGAAAGAGGGGGGTAAGATTTGCTATGAATATGTACAATAAGACAGAAATTGTACAGATGTGGTAGAATGTAGGCATGAATGTTGTAAGAATGTGATATAAAACTTGGAGAGAGGAGACAGGATGAAGTATGAATGTGATGAATGTAACAGACATTACAGAAGCGTGGTAGAATGTGGCGTGAATGTTGTAGAATACGACAGAAAAGTTGCAAAGATGTGGTCGAATGTGGCATGAATGTTGCACAATAAGACAAACATTGTACAGATGTGGTAGAATGAATGTAGATGTGGTAGAAGAATGTTGTAGAATAAGACAGAAAAATTGGAGAGAGGAGGTAGGATGCGGCATGAATGTTGATGAATGTAATAGACATTGCAGAGGCGTGAATGTTGTAGAATAAGTAGATAACTGTATAGATGTGGTAGAATGTGGCGTGAGTTGTAGAATAAGACAGAAAAGTTTCAGAGAGGAGTAGGGATGTGCATGAATGTTGCAGAATGTGGTATAAAAGTTGGAGAGAGGAGACAGGATGAGGTATGAATGTTGATGAATGTAGCAGACATTACAGAAACGTATATGTGGCAGAATGTTGTAGAATAAGACAGAAAAATTGTACAGATGTGGTAGAATGTGGCATGGATGTTGTAGAATAAGTAGGTATAGATTGTGGTAGAATGTGGCGTGAATGTTGTAGAATGCGACAGAAAAGTTGGAGAGAGGAGGTAGGATGTGCATGAATGTGATGAATGTAACATACATTGCAGAGGCGTGAATGTTGTAGAATAAGTAGAATAACTGTACAGATGTGGTAGAATGTGGCGTGAATGTTGTAGAATGTTGGAGAGAAGAGGAGACAGGGATGCGACAGAAAAGTTAGAGAGAGGTAGGATGTGGCATGAATGTTGATGAATGTAACAGACATTGCAGAGGCGTGGTAGAATGTGTCGCGAATACTGTAGAACGTGGCAAAAAAAAGTCGCAGAAAAAAATGTGGTATAATGTGGCAAAACTCGAACAGAATGACAGCTCTCTGAATTTCACGATGACATAAACGCCAATTATTTATTACCTCAAATGGACAAAATGAGGTGGAAGACGATGAATAAAAGAACGAGAACAGGGAAAATTTGATAACGAAATGAACGTGTCCAGCTGGTGAAGTGGAGATGAGAAAACTAGCTTATTGATTTTCGTTTTTTTATTATATATATATTTTTATTTTTGTTTTAATTCCTCGTTTCTTTTTTTTTTTTTTTTTTAATTCCTCGTTTCAAAGTTTTGTATCAATATTTTCCTCCCAATCAATTATCGTTTTTCTCCTATGTGCGTATCATTATCAATTCAGTTTTTAATTTATTTTTCATCTGGCATTTACAATTTTTATATCTATATTTCCCTTCCTATAATTCTTTTTTTTCATATGTGTCCATTTTTCCTTCCTATCATCTTTTTCCATATGTCTATTTTTTCCTTCCTATATTTTTTTTTCCATGTGTGTCTCTTTTCCTTCATATTAACATTTTCCATATGTGTCTGTTTTTTGCTTCCTATCACTATTTTTCCTGTGTGTTTATTCATTTTTCTTTCTTATCAGCTTTTTTTTTTCCTATGTGTGTCTATTATTTCTTTCCTGTCAACTTTTTTCCCTATGTGTCTTTTCTTTTTCTTTCTTATCATTTTTTCCCTATGTGTCTATTATTTCCTCCTGTCAACTTTTTTCCTATGTGTCTGTTTTTTCCTATGTGTCTATTTTTTCTTTATTATCAACGTTTTTTTTCGTGTGTGTCTATTATTTCTTCTGTCAACTTTTTTCCCTGTGTGTCTATTTTTTTTCCTCTTATCAGCTTTTTTTCCCCTATGTGTGTCTATTATTTCTTCCTGTCAACTTTTTCTATGTATCTATTTTTCTTTCTTTTCACGTTTTTTCCTGTGTGTCTATTATTTCCTTCCTGTCAACTTTTTCCCTATGTGTCTATTTTTTCTTTATTATCACGTTTTTTTCGTGTGTGTCTATTTATTTCCTTCTGTCAACTTTTTCCCTGTGTGTCTATTTTTCCTTTCTTATCATTTTTTTCCCTATGTGTCTATTGTTTCCTTCCTGTCAACTTTTTTTTCCTATGTATCTATTTTTTTTTCTTTCTTTCACCGTTTTTTTCCTGTGTGTCTATTATTTCCTTCCTGTCAACTTTTTTCCTTGTGTCTATGTCTTTTTCATGTCTTTATTTTTCTTTCTTACCATTTTTTTTCCTATGTGTCTATTATTTCCTTCCTGTCAACTTTTTTTTCCTATGTGTCTGTTTTTTTCCTTTCTTACCATTTCTTTCCCCGTGTGTCTATATCTTCCCTTCCTGTCAACTTTTCCTGTGTGTCTATTTTTTTTTCCTTTCTTATCAACTTTTTTCCTGTGTCTATTATTTCCTTCCAGGCAACTTTTTTTTCCTATCTATTTTTCCTTCCTATATTGACTTTTTCCATATATGTATCTATTCTTATTTCCTATCAACCTTTTCCTTATGTGTGTCTATTTTTCCCCCCTTCCTATCAACTTTTTTCCCCATTTGTGTCTATCATCATCTATCCTTCATTCTATCTCCCCCCCTCCCCCCCCACCCTCCGTTTCCTGATGAAATTGCATATACACATCAGTACAGTTATGCATTTCCATATACGGTGACACACACATTTCCATAAATGGGATTACCAGCAAAATTATATCGAGAAAAAATAAATGTTTTACGAAAAGGGTTGAACTTTTGTATCAATGCCATCATTATTAAAAAGTGTATATATATTAATGCTGATAAGGATGGTAATGATAATTACGATGAACCATGATAAAAGATTATTGCCTATGACTACTAACTACTACTACTCTACTACTACTACTACTACTACTACTACTACTACTAGTAATAATAATGATAATAATAATAATGTAATAAATAATAATAATGATAATAATAATAACAAAATACCACACTTTGGTAAAAAAATACAAAAATCTGATAAAAAAAACAAAACAAAACAACATCGACAACAACAACAAACAACAAAACAGACAAACTAACCAACGCTACCAAACCCATAACCTCCTTGGCGGGGATAATAATCATGATAATAATATGAAGACAGCAACATAAAACTACTAATACAACTGCCAATGACCAATGATGATATTAACAATAGCAATTGCAACAGTGAAACCAGAGAGATAGTCGACCAGTTTGTTAGAATTGAGACCCGACCTCATAAATATTCATACATACGGACATGTATATTCACAGAATTAAATGCATATCTGTCTATTAGAGAGATATAAATTTATCTCTCTATCTATCCGGTAGATATGTACGTCTAGATTGATAGATATGTATTTATTTCGGTATGTATGCGTCCATATAGTGAATATTCATGGGGTTCGGGATTTGCACAATTTTAACAAAACGGTCGAATATTTCTACTTCTACATCAAAAAAAAAAAAGAAGAAGAAGAAGAAGAAGAAGAAGAAGAAGAAGAAGAAGAAGAAGAAAGAGAAGAAGAAAATAGCGAGACACAAAAAGATTTATAGTAATAATTTTGACTTTTTTTTCCATGTATTGTCTTCTTACCAGCGAGGTTTGCGCTCATAGACAGAATTCCATGATGGAGAAAAGGATAGAAAAGATGATATAATTAAACTTAGTCATTGTGAGAACTGAAAAAAGTATAAAAATATACTCAAAACATAAAAAAGTATAAAACAAGTTTTCTCAAAACTAAAAAATCATAAACCAATTTCTCAAACCTAAGAAAGTATAAAGACAATTTTCTCAAAGAGTAGAGTATAAGACAAAATTTTCAAAAATAAAGTATAAACCAATTTTCTCAAAACCCATTTGTCTCCAAACGTAGAGTATAAGACAAAACTTTCAAAACCTAAGAAAAGTATAAACCAATTTTCTCAAAACCCAAGAAAAGTATAAAACAGTATCTCCAAACGTATAATATAAAGAAGAAGAAGAGAAAAAAAAAGTAAAAAAAGTACAAACCCATTTTCTCAAACCCCAAGAAAAGTAAAAGACACAATTTTACTCAAAACCAAAAGGAAAATATGACATTATCTCTAAACGCAGGTGTATAAGAAGAAGAGAAGAAAAAGAAAAAGAAGAAAAAAGAAAAAGAAAAAGAAAAGAAAAAGAAAAAAAAAAGAAAAAGAAAAAGAAAAAGAAAAAGAAAAGAAAGAAGAAAGAAAGAAAAAGAAAAAGAAAAAGAAAAAGAAAAAGAAAAAGAAAAAAGAAAAAGAAAAAAGAAAAAGAAAAAGAAAAGAAAAAGAAAAAGAAAAAGAAGAAAAGAAAAGAAAAGAAAAAGAAAAGAAAAAGAAAAAGAAAAAGAAAAGAAAAAGAAAAGAAAAAGAAAAAAAAAGAAAAACAAAGAAAAAACGAAAAACGAAAAACGAAAAACGAAAAACGAAAAACGAAGGAAAAAAAAAAATAGATAAATAAAAATAAAAATAAAAAAAACCGTAAAAAAAAGTACAACCCCCTTTCCCCAAACCCCCAAGACGGAAACAGAAACAGAAACAAACAAAACAAACAAAAAAAAACAAAAACAAAAGCAAAAACAAACAAACACAAAACAAAAACAACAAACAAAACAAAACAAACAAAAAACAAGTAACAACCCCTTCCCCCAACCCCAAGACGAGTCCCAGGGGGGCAAGACGGACGTGCCCAAGCGAGCCCACCGCCGTAGCCGTAGCGAGGGCCCACGCGGAGAGAGAGAGAGAGAGAGTGCCACCCCCCGCCCCCTTCCTGGTTGGCACCGCGCTGTAAATTAATCACCGCAAAGCTCGGGGATCTTCCGGGGAAGAAAAAGAAAAAGAAACAGAAACGGAACGGAAACGAAACGGAAACGAAACAGAAAACAGAAACAGAACAGAAACAGAAACGAAACAGAAACAGAAACAGAAACAGAAAAAGAAACAGAAACAGAACAGAAACAGAAAACAGAAACAGAAACGAACGAAAACGAAAACGAAAAACGAAAAAAAAAAAAACGAAAAAAACGAAAAAAGAAAAAACGAAAACGAAAAAAACGAAAAACGAAAGAAAAAAACCCGAAAACGAAAAAACGAAAAAACGAAAAAAAAAACGAAAAAAGAAAACGTAAGAAAAGTACAACCCTTCCTCCCAACCCCCAAGACGAGTCCAAGGGGGCCAAGACGGACGTGCCAAAGCGAGCCCAAACCGCCGAGCCGTAGCCGAGGGCCCACGCGAGAGAGAGAGAGAGAGAGAGTGCCACCCTCCGCCCCCCCCTTCCTGGTTGGCACCGCGCTGTATTAATCACCGCAAAGGCCTCGGGGATCTTCCGGGAAAGAAAAAAGAAAAAGAAAGAAACGGAAACGGAAACAAAAACCGAAACAGAGAACAAACAAAAAAACAAAAACAACAAACAAACAAAAAACAAAAACAAAAACAAAAACAAAACCAAAAAAAAACAAAAACAAGAAAAAACAAAAACAAAAAAAAAAACAAAAACAACAAAACAAAACAACAAAAGCAAAACAAAAACAAAAACAACAAAACAAGAAAAACAACGAAAAAACAAAAAAACAAAAAACAAACAAAAAACAAAAAACGAAAAAACGAAAAGGAAAACCGAAAAACCGAAAAACCGGAAAAAACCGGAAAACCGAAAACCGAAAACCGAAACCCGAAAACCGCAAAACCGAAAAACCCGAAAAACGCGAAAAACCGAAAACCGAAAAACCGAAAAACCGAAAACCGAAAACCGAAAAAAAAACCCGAAAGAAGAAAAAAGAAGAAAAAAGAAGAAAAAGGAAGAAAAAGAAGAAAAGAAAAAAGAAAACGTAAGAAAAGTACAACCCTTCCCCAACCCCAAGACGAGTCCAAGGGGCCAAGACGGACGTGCCAAGCGAGCCCCACCGCCGAGCCGTAGCGAGGGCCCCCCACGCAGAGAGAGAGAGAGAGGCGAGTGCCAACCCCGCCCCCCGTCTTCCTGGTTGGCACCGCGCGCTGTACTTAATCACCGCCAAAGGCCTCGGGGATCTTCCGGGAAAAGAAAAAAGAAACAACAAAAACAAAAAAAACAACAAACAAAAACAAAAACAAAAACAAAAACAAAAAAACAACAAAACAAAAAACAAAAAACAAAACCAACAAAACAAAACAAAACAAAACAAAAAACAAAAACAAAACAAAACAAAAACAAAAACCAAACAACAAAAACAAAAACAAAAAACAAAAACAACAAACAACAAAACACAAAACAAACACAAAAACAAAAACAAAAAAAAAACGAAAAAAAAACCGAAAACAACGAAAAAACCGAAAAAACGAAAAAGAAAACGTAAGAAAAGTACAGCCCCCTTCCCCAACCCCCAAGACGAGTCCAAGGGGGCCAAGACGGACGTGCCAAGCGAGCCCCACCGCCGAGCCGTAGCGAGGGCCCACGCGAGAGAGAGAGAGAGAGAGAGTTGCCACCCCCCCCCCTTCCTGGTTGCACCTGCGCTGTTATTAATCACCGCAAAGGCCTCGGGGATCTTCCGGTGAAAAGAAAAAGAAAACAAACAAAAAAACAAAAACAAAAACAACAAAAACAAAAACAAAAACAACAAAAACAAAAAACAAAAAAACAAAACAAAAACCAACAAAAAACAAAAACAAAAACAAAAACAACAAAAACAAAAACAAAAACAAAACAAAAACACAAAAACAAAAAAACCAAAAACAAAAAACAACAAAAAAAACAACAAAAAACAACAAAAACAAAAACAAAAACAAAACAACAAAAAAAAACCGAAAAACCGAACCGAAAAACCGAAAAACGAAAAAGAAAACGTAAGAAAAGTACAGCCCCTTCCCCAACCCCAAGACGAGTCCAAGGGGCCAAGACGGACGTGCCAAGCGAGCCCCACCGCCGTAGCCGTAGCGAGGGCCCACGCGAGAGAGAGAGAGAGAGAGAGTGCCACCCCCGCCCCCCCTTCCTGGTTGGCACCGCGCTGTATTAATCACCGCAAAGGCCTCGGGGATCTTCCGGGAAAAGAAAAAGAAACAGAAACCAGAAACGGAAAGGAAACAGAAACAGAAACAGAACAGAAACAAACAAACAAAAAACAAAACAAAACAAAACAAAACAAAAACAAAAACAAAAAACAAAAACAAAAAACAAAAACAAAAACAAACAAACAAAAAACAAAAACAAAAACAACAAAAAACAAAAACAACAAAAGCAACAAAAACAAAAACAACAAAACAAAAACACAAAAACAAAAACAAACAAAACAAAAACAACAAAACAACAAAACGAAAAACGAAAAAGAAAACCGAAAACGAAAACCGAAAAAAAACCGAAAACCGAGCGAACGGAAACCCGTAAACCGAAAACCGAAAAAAAAAACCGAAAACCCGAAAAAACCGAAAAAACCGAAAAAACCGAAAAACCGAAAACCGAAAAGAAGAAAAAGAAGAAAAAAAGAAAAAGAAGAAAAAGAAAAAAAGAAAAAAAGAAAACGTAAAGAAAAGTTACAACCCTTCCCAACCCCAAGACGAGTCCAAGGGGCCAAGACGGACGTGCCAAGCGAGCCCCACGCCGAGCGTACGCGAGGCCCACGCGAGAAGAGAGAGAGAGATGAGAGAGAGTGCCACCCCCCCGCCCCCCTTCTGGTGGCACCGCGCTGTATTAATCACCGCAAAGGCCTTCGGGGTCTTCCGGGAAAAGAAAAAGAAACAAACAAAACAAAACAACAAAACAAAAACAACAAAAGCAAACAAAACAAAAACAACAAAACAAAACAAAACAAACAAAAAACAAACAAAACAAAAACAAAACAAAAACAAAAACAAAAAAAAAACAAAACAAAACAAAACAAAACAAAAAACAAAACAAAAACAAAAACAAAAAACAAAACAAAACAAAAACAAAAACAAAAAAAAAAAACAAAAAAAAACAAAAAACAAACAAAAAACGAAAACCGAAAACCAAAAAAAGAAAGAAAAAACGTAAAAGAAAGTACAAGCTTCCCCAACCCCAAGACGAGTCCAAGGGGCCAAGACGGACGTGCCAAGCGAGGCCCACGCCGAGCCGTAGCGAGGGCCCACGCGAGAGAGAGAGAGAGAGGAAGTTTGTAGGCCACCCCGCCCTATTCCTGTTGGCACCGCGCTGTATTAATCACCGCAAAGGCCTCGGGGATCTGGGAAACAATGGGGGGGGGGGGGGGGGAGGGGAGGAGACGAGAGAAGGGACTTTCGCTGTCCGAGAGAGAGAGAGAGAGAAATGGGAAGGAGAGAGATGAAAGTCCGAGAAAGAGAGAGAGAAAGAGAAAAGAAACGAAAACGAAAACGAAAGAAAACGAAAAAAAACCGAAAAAAAACCGAAAAACCACCCGAAAACGAAAAACGCGAAAAAACCCGAAAAACCGAAAAAAACGAAACCGAAAACCGAAAAACCGAAAAACCGAAAAACCGAAAAAACCGAAAACCGAAAAACCGAAAAACCGAAAAACCGAAAAAAGAAGAAAAAAAGAAAAAGAAAAAAAGAAAAGAAAACGTAAGAAAAGTACACCCCCCTTCCCCAACCCCAAGACGAGTCCAAGGGGCCAAGACGGACGTGCCAAGCGAGCCCCACCGCGTAGCCGTAGCGAGGGCCCACGCGAGAGAGAGAGAGAGAGAGAGTGCCACCCCGCCCCCCCCTTCCTGGTTGGCACCGCGCTGTATTAATCACCGCAAAGGCCTCGGGATCTTCCGGAAAAGAAAAAGAAACAACAAAAAACAAAACAAAAACAAAAACAATAAAAACAAAAACAATACAAAAAAACAAACAAAACAAAAACAAAAACAAAACAAAAACAAAACAAAAAAAAAACAAAACAAAAACAAAAACAAACAAAAACAAAACAACAAAAACCAAAAACAACAAACAAAACAAAACAAAAACAAAAACAAAACAAAACAACAACAAAACAAAAACAAAAACAAAAACAAAAACAAAAACAAAAACAAAAAACAAAAACAAAAACAAAAACAAAACAAAAACAAAACAAACAAAAACAAAACAAAAAACAAAACAAAAACAAAACAAAACAAAAACAAAAACAAAAACAAAAACAAAACTCAAAAAACGAAAACAAAAAAAAAGAAAAAAAACGTAAGAAAGTACAACCCTTTCCCAACCCCCAAGACGAGTCCAAGGGGCCAAGACGGAACGTGCCAAGCGAGCCCACCGCCGAGCCGTAGGAGGCCCACGCGAGACGAGAGAGAGAGAGAGAGAGAGAGAGTGCCACCACCCGCCCCCCTTCCTGGTTGGCACCGCGCTGTATTAATCACCGCAAAGGCCTCGGGGATCTTCCGGGAAAAGAAACAGAAAAAGAAACAGAAACGGAAACGGAAACGGAAACAGAAACAGAAACAGAAACAGATAAACGAACGAAACGAAAACGAAAAACGAAAACGAAAACGAAAACGAAAACGAAAACGAAAACGAAAACGAAAACGAAAACGAAAACGAAAACGAAAACGAAACGAAAAACGGAAAAACGGAAAAAATGTGAAAAAAGAAAAACCGAAAACCGAAAAAACGAAAACCGAACGAAAACCCGAAAACCGAAAAAACGAAAAACCGAAACCGAAAAACCCGAAAAAACCGTAAAAAACGAAAAAAAACGAAAAAACGAAACGAAACGAAAACAAAAAACAAACAAAAACAAAAAATAACAAAAAAAAAAAACAAAACAAAAACAAAACCAAAACAAACAAATAAAAACCAAAAAAAACCAAGTACAACCCCTTCCCCAACCCCCAAGACGAGTCCAAGGGGGCCAAGACGGACGTGCCAGAGCGAGCCCCACCGCCGTAGCCGTAGCGAGAGGCCCCACGCGAGAGAGAGAGAGAGAGAGTGCAACCCCACCCGCCCCCCCTTCTGGTTGGCACCGCAGCCTGTATTAATCACCGGCAAAGGCCTCGGGGATCTTTCCGGGGAAACAATGGGGGGGGGAGGGGGAGGGGGAGGAGACGAGAGGAAGGGACTTTCGCTGTCGACGAGAGACGAGAGAGAGGAGAATGGGAGGGAGGGAGAGAGAGAGATGAAAGTCCGAGAGAGAGAGAGAGAGAGAGAGATTGGGGTTGAGGCGGGAGGGAGGGGGGGGGAAGGGGGGAGGAGGAGTGGGATAAAGGGAGGGAAGGGGGAGGGGCAGAGGGGCTGAGGAGGCGGGAGGGGGGGTGAGGAGGGGGATGGTGAGGAGGCTGGGGGGGAGGAGAGGGGGAGTGGGGGGAGAGATTGGGTGAGAGCGAGGATTTGGGGTCGTGGCGGGGGAAAGGGAGGGGGAGGGGGTGTTGGGGGTAATGATTGGTGAGGCGAGGAATTGATCAAGGGGGGAGGGGAGGGGGAGGGGTGGTAGGGGGGTGGTTGAAGGAGCATGGTGTGAGGTGAAGCGAGGGGGAGGGTGTTGGGGGAAGTTTGGGTTGAGGGAGATGGTGAGGGGGGGTGGAGAAAGCCCACAGGGGGGGGGGCATGTAAGGGAGAACCCCCCGGGGAAGATGCGAACGGA